ATGTGTAGCCCCAAAATGCAGACAAGTGTATATAGTATACTTGTATATGCTTGTATTTACGTAGTTGGCCACTGATGACCGTTAAACTTGAAATTAAGCCGCAACAAAGCGGCCATTATGTGCCGTTTGTTTTTAAAATTTTAACGCTATTTAACACATTCGCCACACTCACACACACACGCGCCCTGGTAGCCATAAACCATTAGCATGCCAAACGATCGCAGCTCTCTGCGCTTCCCATAAACAAGCAAAAAAAAAAAACAACAAAAAAACAAAATTGTAGTATGAATGTGAAACAAAACTTTCAAGAAGCTTTCGTAAAAGTATTGACAAAAATTAATGATGCCCTCACTAATATCATGCCTAATTGATTAATATGCGCAACTCGCACACACACATACATACATACACATACACCCATTAGTGTGGGGCACGACACACTCGCATACTTGCAGACATGGTGTGTTATTATTAAATGCTGCGGTCGACTCATCTAATGAACACACCGTTCGCCTCTTAGCTGTTAATCTTACTGTACAGCCATTTGAAATACCAGGTAAAGTTCGGCTTCTTAATTAAATTATGTTTACCGCTGGGCACCCTGCGGCACCCGAGCAGCTCCATGATGTCGCTGCTGATGATGAGAGCTCGCCGCTTCACTCTACACTGCCCTGCTCTGCTCTGCTCTGCTCTGCTCGGCCTGGGCGTTGCTGTTTGCTTCACACAAATTTGGAAGAGAAAGGCCTCAAAAAGGTCAAATGGCCAACAGCTGGTGGTCGGTCAAGTGGGTAACAGAACCACAACAACAGCCAGCAGCCAGCAGCTAACAGCTAAGAGCCAACAGCCAAGAGGCAAAAGCCAAGAGCCAGCAACAACGACACACGTTCTCCATGCCTTGTTAGTTGCGCCACAAATAGAATTTGTCTCTTCACATGCGCCAGTACTCGTATGCTTCCCTGCCTATGCGAGTGTACGAGTATACTGCCACCTCACCCATCATGCTATTGGAAAGGTTCTGGCTCAGTGGGTAGTTGGAGCACTGTGTCGTCGTTGCGTTCGAAATGAAGCGCCATGCCGTGGAGCCAGCAGGGTTTTACGAGTAAGTGACGCGAGTCGCTGTGGTGGCAGCAGGCAGCAGGCAACAAACTACAAGTGATTTGATGATGATATGAATGAAGTTTATGGGCATTACGCCACAACTTGACAGTGGGGTTCTGTGCATGGCTTGTAATAAAGCAAGAGAGCTGTGGTTTTCAGCTCATGATTAGCTTAACGAGGATGCCCGAGAAAACTATAGGCTTTTTAGCATATTTTGTAAATTGGACCCAACCTTGCGTTTGAATATCTGCAGAATAACACAGTTTCTAATGTGCTTATATCAATATTGGATGTCTCAGGGGAAAATATCATTAGTCTGTTCACAAGCAAATTGACAAGAGAAATTCTCTGACGACGAGCTTTCGCATGATTTTGCTGGAAGTTGTGTTTTTCAGATTTTTTCTCAATTTTGACATGCTTCATCAATTCCTTTTTATGAAAGAAAAAAATGAATAACTGTTTTCGTATACATATTTGTTTGTTATAAATCGAATTTCCTTTTAAATGGGAGCATTTGTTTGTTTATGAAACAACTAGCGTCCTGCCCCTGCTTCGCACGGTTATTTTTACAAACATTTTACAAATTAACACAAATACAGCCTTCTTTTTGCTATGAGTTACTAAGAAGGAGTGAAATTTATTTTGGATATTATTATTTTAATGATTTTATGTTCGTTTTTAGATTTTTTTGTTATTCTTTATTAGGTCAGAGGTTCTCTGTAAAAGATATTTGATGTTTTATTTTGTGGTAGCAAAATAAATTGATTTCCAAGAGCTCCGACCCGTGATAGGTCAACATACCGTAAAACATTGCTTTCGTATGTCGTTCCCTACTAATTTGAAGGCTTGGCCTTGGGACTACCGGAAATTGAAGCCATATAAATGATCAAATGGGATCATCGGTATCCTTGGTATCCTCGTTATATGAGCTAGTTGATCAGTTGCTGGGCCGTTGATAATAGTTGCTACACTTAAATTGTCCTGCAATTCCTTAATAAGCCGCATCGTCCCATTGCACATGCTTGGAAGGCTTTATTCTCAAAAGCATCGTTGCAATTCCGATTTTTACCGTCAATTCATGTGGCAGCAGTCCAGAAGGTCTTAGTGAATTTAAATGTCTTCAATATTAGTCACGGTGTCGATCGATTTGTAATTTTTTATTTGGCTGGGGGCTTTTGAATAATATTGCCTTAATATTTAAAGTGACAATGTTTCGAGGATGAATATGAACTGACAGCATGCTATTCAGGAGTATTTTAAGGTACATTATTGGCGTTTTAGTAAGGATTCCATTCTTTTTTGCAGATATAATATAGCCAATGTTAACCGTCGATAGTGTAGCTTCCTAACAATGATAGAATCCATTAAATCGGTCCAGTAGATTCGGAGCCTTTTCAATGCAAACAAACAAACAAACAAACAAACAAACAATCAAATGTTTCCTCTTTATAATATAAGTATAGATAAAATATATCTCCACCAATTGAATATTTTTCAGTTGATATTTACTTTAAGCCAAAGCTGCAGCAACAACAACATTTATGGCTATAACTTCCTTTAAATTTGACATATAATGAAGAATCTTAACATGTGTGCCCTACACAAGCACTAACCGGATGTAAGTGGCGATTTGAGTTAGTTCCAAGAACTACCAGAGTGTATCGAAAAACAAGTGGAGAAGCTAAAGTCGGGTGTCTTGACTTTCAAATACTCTGTACATATGTGTAGAATAATTATGCGTGTCTTTGCGTGTTTGTGTGTGTGTGTATGTGTTTGTGTGTATGTCTAGTGTGCCTGTGCAAAGCAACAATGAAAAATTCCAAGAAATACGGGTGGAAAGGTGGAGAAAGGAAAATTCCAAAATACATATTTTCTGCATATTCACATAAGGCATCTTGAAATAAAATTAGGTGCCCTTATGTCTTATAGTCTCTGAGATATACATACAAGTATGTAGGTGATTATACGAATGGAAAATCGGATAATCCCATATAGGGGGGAAGTGGCGGGGAAAAAAAAAATAAAACAAGTGGAGAAGCTAAAGTCGGGGTACCGACTTTGAAATACTCTGTACATATGCTTAGAATAATTATAGAAATTAAAAATATTAAGAAAATTTAAAAAAAATTTGGATCAATGTTACTTCGCTCCGGATTCGAACTCACGTAAATGGTGTATAATTGCACATTTACAAAGCAGTTGCGTCTATGTGAGTGTATGCATGTCTATGCGCGTCTATTCGTGTCTGTGTGAACATGTTTGCAGTCAACCAAAGCACCAACATCAACAACAGCTGTGGGCAGCGCTTGGGCAGCAATTATATTTATGGCTATAACTTCCTGTTAAATCGGTCTATCATACGGACACATCACTAACTGGGGGTATTTGCAAAATTTGAGTTTGAAATTCCTAGCTCTTATAGAGTCTGAGATCCAGGTCTTCATACGAACGGAGAGACGGACAGACAGACATAGATCGACTCGTCTTTTTTATACGTTGTACCCAAAGGGTATGCTAGTTTCGGGCGAGTGTACATGTAACACACAGAAGGAGGCGTGGCAGACCCCTCATAGTATATATATTCTTGATCAGGATGACAAGCCGAGTCGATATAGCCATGTCCGTTTGTCTGTCTGTATGAACGCAAGGATCGCAGAAGGTACAAGAGCTAGAATAACCAAACTTGGTATCCAGATTCTCCTGAGCCCGAGAAAGGACGAGTTTGTTCATTTTTTTTATGCACCCCCCACTTCCTCCCTATTCGTGATTTTCTATAACTCCCGAAATTCTTGGAATTTTGAACTAAAATTTGGTAGTCACACTCGCACAAAACTAATATACCCTTTTACCTTTGGGTACAGGGTATAAAAATCAAACTCAGTTCTATTTTAACGCTAAGTAGTGCGTCATAGTAATGCATGAGTGGTCGACTTTAGATTGCGAAAAAAATTGTTCAAAAGATGCCTACGCCCTTGTATGGACAATATACTTTTCTGATATTTTTCAATAGTCAAAACGAAAATCCCCTCGCAACGGTAATGGTTTAAAATTTGCGTGTGTTTCCAAAGAGTTTTAGTAACACGTTATAATTATGGAATTTAATGATTAGTATATACATGGCTTTTAAAAATATAAATTTCCATCGTTTGAAATGGGCAAAGGGGCTTATTATTATTTTCGCGCTGCTAGCCGAGCTAACTAAGCGAAAACTAACCACAAACTGTGGATTTCAATTACAAAAGCAGGTATTAAAGCTCATGAGATAGATATTTAAATATTATGCAACTAGACCACTAGCTATTCGGAGCTGTGCGAGGCTAAAATGTCCGAGATACGGGTGTTTTACAAACAGAAGCTGAAAGCCATTGCTCTTCGCCACGTTAATAATGATTAAGTTGGCCATAAAACGAATCGTAAAACCGAGACCTAAAAGCTACAGTCATGCCTATCTACAACTCGTATATGTACATACATATCTATGCAATAATGAATGTAAATCGGTTTAGCATGAAATTAGAGCACGTCAAGCATAATCGAATCGGTCCAACTCATTCTCCAAACACCTACAACCCTTTTAGTTGGAGCTTAACCTCGCGCATTCTTCGGGCTCCTCAATTTCTTTTCACTCTAAATGCAAATTGGTTCGAATATTGTTGTTTTTTGTTTCTGAACTCATCCAACTCATCCAGCTAAACGTTGGATGGGTGCCATTGATTAATTACAGCGAAGCTGAGACGCGTTATGTTAATCGTTGGCGAAAACACAAACACAAACACACACCAAAAACAAAAACAAAAACCAATATCGATAGCAACAGCAACAGCAACAAATCTAAACGGTAAGTGTTTTTCACCGACCATCGCATGCAAGAATTTGGATTTCCACTATAATTAGCAACTTACCACGCGGCGAGCGCAAACTCAAATCAACTGGTTCAACTTGAACCGGAGGGCCCTCTGCCTGCAAGAAGATAAAGAGAGAAAAGAGTTGTAAATAATGATGATGATGATGATGAAACTTTTGCTGCGCCGACTGCTTCTTATTAATTATGCATGGAAACTAAGTAAGCGCCAAAGTGGCCATAAGCTACGCTTAAACTAATCAAGCTTGACAAAATGCCTGAGCCGATGCTTTGTTTCTATTCCAAAACAAATACAAATACAAAAAATATGCACACATACTACATATGTACGTGTATACTATAATACTTATTCTGGTATACGGGTATATACTCGTATGAATGCCGTAAAGAAATTTATGTTTAAATCGTCGTCGCCGATCTTCTTTTATCTATGAGATCGACTTGCGGCAAGCCGGCCAGCCGGCGCCCATGCGTGCTTTCTGGCTCTTTGCCTGCCGCAGTTTATTGAATTCAGTCGTATGGAACCGCAAATGACTTCCGCCGTTACGCCGCCGCCGACACCGACACCGTCATCACCATCACCATCACTAGCACCACCATCACCACCATAACCACCGATGAGACTGCCAAAAAAATAAAAAAAACAAAAAAACATCTACAACAATGTGTGTACGTGTATCTATAATGCCCACTACTGCTAATATCAATACCGCAATTGTTGCGCATTATGCGGTTACGAAATCTTTGCAGGCCAGCCAATAAAATAACGGCCATAAAATCAACAGTTATGGCCCTGGCCCGGCAATAAAATGGATAAATTTTAATTTGGTGGTGCATATGCATATCAAAGGCTGCATGCGATCTGCGAGCGAGGTGCGAAAGCGACAACAAGCAACAACAACCGACAACAACCGACAACCAGGGGCAACAGCAACTGCAACAACAATAACGACAACACTTGAACATTTGGCTAAACGGATGCAGCAGCGGCCACAACACGCTGCCAACAACAACGGCAGCTGCAACTCGCCCAGTGGGCAACATCGAGAAACGACAATTGTCAAGCTTGTAGCGCAAATTATGAAAAAATGTCAGCGGCCAAGCAGCGAGCGAGCAAGAGTGGGCGAATTACAACTTGGCCAACTTCTAGAGCTGGCCTGGCGATCTGCGGATTTACAGCCACGCGATATGTGTCTTTCTTGGCATTGTCTGCTTATTTATACAAACAAATGCTTATTGCTTTTAAAAACAACACTAGATTAGATAGTTTGTCTTCGATTGTCTGGGAACTCCCGCCTCGCCGCTCCGTTTGTCCGCCTGTGGGGGCCAAAGGCATTGCATGTTTGACTTTTGGCTTGGCTGGGGTTATCTTTTCGAACTGGGCACTGACAGCTATATACTCGTACATACATACTTCAACCGAAGACTGTAGTTGACAACAACTTCATTACTTTTACATTGCATTTCAATGGACAGCCAGCTCGTGCATCGAACCAATACCACCTTACCCCCCCTCACCCCCCCCCTCCTAGCCCACCCCGCCCCATCTAACGCCGCAACTTGTCGGCCATTTCTAATTGCCGCATTTAAGTGCACGCTGATTTATTGTCAGCTCGCTTAGTTTTTTATGGCACTTCCATGATATTGTTATGGTCGACATGCAGCCGCCGCTGCTAATTTGTGTGAGACGTGCGGAAATTTTTGCGCAATGTGCTCGCAAGTGTCTCATGGCGGCCAACACGGACATCAGTCGCCAGCGGCGCCTACTCAGAAGATGGACAAGATCTCCGATGCTGCTCTGATGCCACATATAGTACATACTTGTTCGAATACATTGGTGCTGTCTGCCGCTGCTGCCTTCTCTGCCGTCTCTGAGCCAAGTTATTGGCAAGTTTTATGGATTGCCTCGATATTTCTTGGTGGCATGTCTATGGAATTTTTGGGTTAGCAAAGAGCTGCCGACGCGCGCAAGGTTACCAGCGATTTCATTTGTGGCTTTTAACGAGCATTATCAGCGCGCAATTGGCCAAGCGGGATCGGTTCTGATATTGTAAATATTATTCGCATAAATAGTGCAAGACTAATGGCACTCTTTGTTAATTTGATGATGCGGTGATCTTGCAAAAACTTCATATTACTCATACAAGCAATCCCTGATCTGATCTGACTGTAGCTTTCAATTTAATTTTGTCGAATTATGGTTTGAGATTGTTGAAGCTATTCTTATTATTCTGAAGACAAAGTTACTCTGAAAAATGAGCTTGACTAAATAAATTGGATAGCATCACATTTAAATATCTAAAGCTCTCAGGTATATACGTGTATATAGTATATTGAATCATTTGGGTTCAAGTTTGGTCATTCCAGCTTTTATACTTTCCGATCAGACTTGTATGTATAGACAGGAACCAACTTTGGATATAGAGTATTTTGGTGCCATATTCGAATAACATATTCTGTCTTCAAATACATTCAAGAATCACATTGGAATCATTTCATTTTTGGTAATCCTATAAACATAATATTCAATACTAATTGCTCAATCGCATCTGCCACATCTCGTTTACTCTTACTTGTCTTCTTGCAACCTTATATTTTATTAGGCGTATTTCATAATGAAATAATTTAGAGCTTTATAAAATTTCGTTACAACTGCTGTATTTAAACTTCAGAAAAAAAAGCGAAATAGTAAGCTCGTACGCTGATTCAGATAACTTAATAGCGAATTGCCTGAACAAAGTAGACAAATTTTGCGTTACCTTTGTTTTTGCCAAATTCTGAGATATCTATAAATAATCTGCAGTATTTACACAAAATATCAAACACTCAAGACGACTACTGTAGCTTATTTTGTAGATCAAAGAAGAAATGGTATGCATTAAACCTGCTGTTGAAACAAGCTGCCATGAACCGTAATAATCTGTGGGATCTGGTACGCATTCGGAATTTTTGGAATTGAATTGTAGTTACATACGAGTATTTATTAATTAATTAATTTAAATGTACATAAATGTTTTAGGAATTTCTAGCATTGCTCTATTAACAAAACGGAATTGCACCCAAGAAGGAGGGCAGAGCTTATTTCATCTAGTTCCTAATTTTCGCGATATTGGGTGGTCCCAAAACAATTTAACATGGACTTGGATGATCTGAAATAATACGCTTCAATATTGGATTAGATCTGACAATATGCGCCGTGAACTACATGAGAGCACGAGTTTAAATATGGTCTGGAAAGAAGCCGGTCATTGGCCTAAAAAATCAACACTACCGACTTCAAGTCGGAAAATTTCATGTTTTGTGAATCAGTAGGACAAACCCATTTTACAAAACTAGGTCAAATTTAAGATTTCCCACCACAGTGTGTTTTAAAATAAAAATAAAATATGCACACCCAAATTTCGAAGATTTAATATACTAAAAGCAGTGAATTCAAAGTGAAAAGTTATTTAATAACAAGTGTGGACGTGGCCTTTAATTGATGTTTCTTTTGTTAATTATAAATAGAATTTTCCATCTTTTTTTATTATCTTAACTGTGTTTATTATTTGTTTCAAGGGGTATTTTGAATATGCATATTATAAAAAATATGTATACACAAACTTATTAGAAATCCATTTTCCAAACTTTTTTATTAATATAAGGATATCGTTATTTTCCAATATGTATAGTACAGATGAATGTTGATGTTAAAGCGAGAAATAAAATGAAAACATTTTTGTCTTTACTTTACATTTAAAAATAACATTCAAAAATGTAATAAATTTACTGTATATTTAAATCAACTACAACTACAAAAATAATTATGCCTTTTAAATAAGCTGTAAGCCACTGTACGTATAGAATATGAACAGCATGACATGACGAATTCAAATATCTTAGTCAGTCCGTATTTATAATCAGTATATCAGAACTAGTCCCACGGCTTTGGAGATATCGCGATTAAAATTTTCACAGAGGCGGACTCAGAAAATATCAGATCACTCCATCAGCTGATTGCTGTCATAGACAAAGATGTATTTAGACCCGGTTCCATATCTTTAAAATATAACTGATATCGATAACTCTTTCTCATGACATTCAATTAATTTGCAATTTAAAAGGAATGTGTATTTCTTCTACATATGTTTAATGCAAAGAGGGAAAATATTTAAAATGTTCCGCAGACGTCCAATAAAAAGTGGATGATTGTTTTATGACAGCATACGAGTTTAATAAAAAATTGTCGAGGAATTCCAAGAAGAATTTAATAGAATATTTTTACTTGTACATGCATTGTATTTTAATCAAAACATAATCTTTTATGCTGCTTAGAAGGATCGGTACAAATTTTACTCTAACATTTTTTTTGTAAATTATGATATTTTTACGAAAGATAACAAATTATGCATTCCTATGTTCTGAAGGTTTCAAAATCGGTGCTCTATATAAACACTACCAAAAATGTTACGCACGTGGAAGAGACGACAAGTACAAGTTATACAAGAGTCGGGCTTACGTGTCTGTGATGTTATACATACATACGTACTTGATCCTATTGCATTAAACAGATTTGCTTATAACGTTGACTGCACATTGAAGTTATCTAATACATGTATAGGATTTAACTATACCCGAAATCGGAACCCAAAAATGTTCTCAAGACCTTATTTTATTATTTTGTTGACAACACTGTCCCTGATAGTGTTAAATTGGCGTTATTATCTGTATTTCTTATGTGAGCTTGTGTTTTGTGGACATCTACAAAGTCAAAAACTATTCAAGAGGAAAGTTCGGTTAAATTTAAAAATGCTGCAAGTGTCTTCCGATAAACAGTTATAGGAAGAAACGTACTATTCAAAGAGAGCCGAAAAAGGCGTTGAACACGAACCAAATCTAAGACGGCCAAGAGTGTTAACCCATGAACAACACGTTAAGCAAATCAAAGAATTGGTCACTTGGCAATTAGAGTTATTGTTCTTGGCATTTCGTCCATCGTGATCATTTCACACTTATCGTTCCACAAAATCGGCAAAGGGATTAAAGGCCAAAAAGTGATTTTGTGAATTTCTTAAAGGAAACAGATTACTTTAAAGGCGATGAAATAGATTAAAATGCAAAAATAAAATTTTAAAGTTATAGCTATGGTTTCGAGGCATATTTGTACACAATACTTGTAGTAGTATAGTAGTAGTATTAAGCGAGTCCATTAGTAGTTAGTATCTTACAAAATGTTTCAAATAAATCTATTAGACCTCTTGAGTGTATTCAGTTCACACTCCTACAACCGCGGGGAATGTAAGTTAGAGTATGCTAGTGGGTTGATGGCCAACGAAACTCACCTCCTTTGCTGACAGAGGGTCGGATCCAAGTCCATTCTGCAATGGGAGATTGGGGCAGGTATAAATAAACATAAGCCAAGATGGAACATTACTTAATTACGCCAAAGCATCGCTATAAAAGTGCCAACTGTCTGCCATTTGGCTGGCAGGCCCACAAATTGTTGCACTATAAAACAAACTTTGTTGTAGGCGCTGCTGCTGTCAAGCCATGCTGTCCCAAACGCAATCCCAAGCCCAGTGCAGTGCCAGTGATAGACTTGGAGCAGCATATGGCCTATGTTGGCCAGCGTTGGGTAGCGTTGTGTAGCGTTGGATAGCGTTGGCGGTGGTGGTGGTGGAGAGTGCGAATTTGAGTGCGAGAGTACTTACCATGAAAACCATTAAATTGTAAAACGTCTTACAAAATAATAATTGCCCGGCAACGTTCTGGCTACGTCCCGGCAAGAGGGAGAAGAGGCGAGCAGCAACAACACCAATAACAACGACAGCCCCGGCGGTGGCTATGGCAGTGCTTGATATAAACACTGCAACTATTGTAGTTAGTCTCTTTTGTCGCAACAGCTGTTACCTTTTGCCTCAGCCGCATGCTCCCCGCTCCCCGCTGAATCAATGACAACAACACATGCGCACACGGACACGATTTTGAATACGAATACGAACGCGAAGGCGTATGCGAATGCGAATGCGGAATACGAACACAAATACGACTACTTGTGCGAATAGTACAAGTACTCGAATTCAGATGCAGTTAGTTGGAGAAGATTGGAGCAGTTCATGTGCGGCGACTTGGTTCCGTTGGGCGCTCAGTGGCGTCTGTGGCGTCTGCCAAAAGTGCGCAGCCAAGGCAGCGGCTTTGGCCACCAGGGCAGCGACAGCCGCATTGTGCAACGGCAAATGACTTCGCTCAGCTGCGTTTTGGCCAACTTGGCAGCAAAGTTGCCGTGCGTGACGTGCGCACTGCACTCACTCACTGGCAGAGTCAAAGGCAGTGGTTCCTCTTTTCGACTTCTTCAACTTCAGCAATGGCCCATAGGCAAATATTTTATTAGGCTTAAAGTGGGGTGCACAGCAAGTGCAAGCACAGGCACAGAAGGCACAGAAGGTACAGGTGGCAGGGCATGACCAAGTACAACGCACTTTGACTTTGATTGTTGCTGTTCTTACTCTTCTTGCTGTTGTTGTTGTTGTTATTGTTATTGTTGTGGCCGGCCAGCAATTGCGCTTAATTGCAATCAGCTTTTGCTGGCTCTGACTGGGCCTGAAACTGGTACTGGTACTGGGACTGGAACTTGGACTTGGGCGTCAAATGCATACATCCGGCCCGCACTTATTGCTGCAGCTTCCTGGGCGGGGGTGTTACACTTTGCTGCATATCCGGCCACTTGCCACTTGCCCGCAAGGCACCAACGCACAAATCGCTCACGCACACAGACAATCACTTCAAAGTACACACGTGTATGCTTAATTTGATCAAAATGCTTCAGCTTCTGCTGATGTAGCTGCTAGGGCGTTGTAATCACACAGAGTACATATACACGTACATATATACTATATTATATAATCAAAAGGCTAGGCACATGTTACGCCCCATGCAACAGACACAACAACTGAGAACTGATGGCGGTTGCGGCGGTGGCCGTCGCGCGTTATTTATTGACACTCGCAACTGAACGTTCAGTGAGTGCGTCTGTCTATCTGATATAGTGTATTTATGTGCATGTGTGTGTGTGTGTGTGTGTGCAAATTACAGCACATCCGTCATTTTAATTTCACTTAAAACGCCATTTAAATCAAAGCCAACGCACGCACACAATGCACCCATTGAAGAAAAAACGCACGCACGCGCAAACGAAGCACAAAAAGCCGGCAGCGTCGACTCAACAAAACGTAAATAGCGTAAACAGAACGATACAAAGCTGATTTCTGATCCAGAGGAGCGAGTTAAAACGCACGTCCGCGTCGGCCGCGCTTCGAACTAGCACTGAGAGTCAACACAAGACACCGAGACCAACGAAGTTTGCGTGTGTTGAGCTTTAGGGTCGGTTCACATAGGTTAATAACAAGTAACAACTCAAATTTTAACAAAGGTCAGGTCTAGTGCCTTAAATGCTTTTTTTCTCATTTAAAGTGACTTAATGTTTCGGGGATGATTTTGAAGTAACGGCATTCTGTTCAGGAATCGAATTTTTAGCTATTTGTATTTGGACTAAATGAATTGGTTCACCCCGTCGAAAGCTCTGATAAAATAATAAAAATACAGACAAATTGATAACCTCCTCTTTTTTTGAAGTCGGGTAATAACTAAAGTGAGTCTTCATACATACTATAAGTATATCCAATTTGTAGCAAAGTAACTAAAAACTACTTAAAAGATAATCTTGATCAGAACGACAAGATAATTGATATAGCCATGCCCGCTTGAACGCACGGATCTCATGAAGTCTTAAATCGCCAAACTTAGTATGCAGCTTCTCCTAACTCAGGGAAAGTCCACCAGCACCCACGGTTATTGTAACTGCTTTGATTCAATTCTCTACCGCAACTCTACTGCACATAGTCCTTATCTACACAATGAAATATATTTTTGATTTAGATTGACTTGTTTCGTTTTAAACATTATAAAAAGAAAATATTTTAATTTTTATTCTTTTCATATTTATCTTTATTTAAGATCTGTCCTAGGCTGGACAATTACTAATTTTATGATAACACAGAACATCACGGCCTTTAAAAATTTACCAACATTTGAATTTGTTAAGACGAGCAAACCGTGCCCATGAAGTGGCACAACTGAAAACACTAATATAGCGTATTGGAGAGTTGATTTTGTTTTTATTGGTCCCAAGAAGTCAGTAAACAATTTTTGGAAAAAAGGGGTTTCATGTATTCCTGTTATTTTGGGATTTGGTTTTATAATATTTATGAAATATGTATTTTTTTAGCCCTGGACTTAAAAACTAGCGTAATTTTGGCATTTATGGTCAATGCACAATGCATAATAATGTATAGCATGGCACTAATTATTTTATTTTCTTACTCGTTTGTGCTGGAGAGGAAACAAAATGTTCTCATAAGTTTCACCAGCAGGTATTCGTACCTGTTCCGATTTTTTCGATTATCAGCGTATGTTCCTCATACGTTTGGAGTAAGTTTGATGAAACTTGTTTGACTGTGTGGACATATCAGCAACAAAACTCACCACAACGGCGCAGCTACTACTGTGTTAGTATGGGTGTTAGCTTTGGCTCTGGCGCTTGGCTGTCTGTCGTTGTGCGCTGGTAAATATATTCATATATGTACATATATTTTATAAGTGTGTGTGTGCATTATTGTTGTTTGTTTAGTTAAGGTGGAGCTAGGCTAAATGACAAGTTGGCGCGTATATTATTGGGTGGCCAACTGTTTACATTGCAGCCAGAAAGTCTGTATAGTCTGTCTGTCCCTGAGCATATGTGCTAGTATGCGAACTGCCTGTCTGTGTATGTGAGTGAGTGTGTGTTTGTGTGTGTTTGTGTGTGTGTGTGCGTCTGTGTGTATTGTTAATTAACATGCATAGCCAGAATGGGCGAGCGCTGCGCTTGTGACAAGTTGGCGTAGGTGTTGGCGCCAGCGTTTTCATTGGCTGGCTGGATGGGTGCTTCCAGAGGCAATTAATACCTCGGCGTATACATATTCATACACATGCATGTATGTGTGTGTGTGTGTGTGTTTTTGCGCTTGCTTGTTCGTATCGTATGCAAAGCTAGCGCTTGGACGAACTGGCTGTCAACTTTGTTATGTTTTATCAAGCTCTCTATATCAATGTGTATAGCATGTTTGTATGTTTGTGTGTTTGTGTGTTTGTTTGTTTGTTTCTTTGTATGTGCATTCGCAGCGGCAGCCACGCAAACGAGCGAAAAACCAACGACAAAAAGGAATTTCGGCAACAGGCAACGACAGTAACAACAACAACAACAGCTAGCGGCAGGCAGCTGTGGGAGCTAAACCGTTACTCGTTGGCGGCACTGATCCACTTTTCCACGCGCTTTGGCAACCATTTTTGGTAACAATAAATCGTGATACATCATCAAAAGTCAATTCAAATGTGTAGACAACGTTGTTTTTGTTTTTGTTTTTGCTCATGTTGTTGTAGTTGCTGCTGTTGCTGTTGTTGTTGTTGTTGCGTCGTCGTCAGTTGACATGGCGCATTGCAAGTACAAAAAATATTTTAATTTTAATTGATTGTCGAGCGAGATTTACGTGCGCAATCGTTTTTCTCACGCTCTCACACACACTCACTATATACATATGTATGTATGTTCGTATGTATGTAGGTACATACTACTTATACAAAAAACATCTCCACAACTGTGCACACACATACACATACACACACATATGTACATATAGCACTCACGTTGATACACACTTATGTACATAGATGGCAGGATTAGGCGCCGCATGCTTGCCAACAAAATGGAAAGTTGTTTGTAAATATTTCTAGCTTGGGCTACGCAAAATACTCATACAACCTACGCGCCTTTCTTCTTCTTCCTTTTCTCCTACTCCGTTTATTCCATTGCATGCCGAATAACAAATAACTGAGAAAAAAGGCATCAAAAAATCAATATAGTACGTGACTTAAGCGTATCAAATGCTTGCCCGCTGCATTTCTTCTTTTGTTTCGTGTTTTCCAATAACAAAAACAAAAGTGCTTCAGTGCAGGCCAAGCACAAGGTTCTCCAAAAACCATTTATATTCCCTAGTTAGTCCATAACTTGTTTGAAGATCTTCGAGCTTAGCGCTCAGAGGGGGAGCAACAAACATAAATGAAGGTACATTAAAGTGTTCTTTAAAATCAAGAACAAGCAGATTGTGGATAGCTGCACCACAAATTAGAATGCATATTGACATGTGCCTTAAAAAATAATTGTACTATTGCAGAAAATGAAAGACCTGACCTTGACAACAAACTACTATGTACATATGTACATATGTAAGTACATATGTTATGCGCGCCAGGGAATTTTGAGATTTATTTCTAACGTCAGTATCAGAGTTTCCAGAAACTCACCAAATCTTGAAAACAAATGCCCTATATGTGTAGTAAAACAAATGAATTTTAACGTTTTCCTCTTTCACCCCACTACCCCGCTTTTAGTGCTTTTCCCTAACTCCCGCAAATTTTGGCTTTTTTAATAGAATTTGACAATTATTTTCGGTTAGCATTTGTGCGCCCGTTCGTAAAATTTCATCATGATGGGCCAATTTTTAAGGAAGTTATAGCCATAAGTACAATTTATGCATAATCTCTTTTTTCTGGACAGACTCTATCCGATCCTGATGAAATTTTTACTGAGGACACCACACACATGAGCAGTATTCTAGCATACTAGCAGCTT